CCCCAAAACCCCAAAACCCCAAAACCCCAAAACCCCACTCTAGAAGAAGGATTTGAAGTTTGAGCTGAAAGACAAACAGATGAATCATGCATTATCCTTTGTAGAAGACAAAGAGTATGTTTCTTGAAATATGGATTGAAATCTTAATTTGAATGAAACATTTATTCAGTCACCAAAAGAAAGTCTTACCAGCTTAGATCTAGGCCTTCAAGCTAAGAGTTTAGTCACCAGTGGTGTGCCCGAGAAAGATAGATATCATTAAATAAAGAGTTGTGATTTCCAATGCCACTTAATTTCTCATCAGATATTTTCTGTGCTTCACAATGCTTAAGATAGCCAAAGATATTCAGAAGAAAAGTATTTAGTCTCTTTCAGTTCATAGATCAAGTCTGTGATTCGAATGATATCTTCCTTAGAGTAAAGATGATTCGTAGTTGAGTCCTGATAGATAGACTTCATATCAGCATAAGTTTTGAATAAATCAGTCTTGCACTTAACAAGCCTTTTAACCCTACATGGTGAAGGGAGTTTGTACTTGCATCTTCTGGATTCTATTTCTAATGGTCTTAAGAGCACTTCCATTCTGTTCGATAAAGTTGATGGCACCTTCACTAAGGCCGAGATGGACAAACTTTTCCTTCGGAGTTATTGACTTTTGTATATTTACAATGCCTCTTCTTGACTCGACACCTTTTGAGGAACTCTGAGATGTGCATGTCCTTGTGACAACATTGGTACAGCTTTGTCTCACGATTTACAATGTTTTCAATGATTTCTATATACAGAAAATTAGCCATCTAAGTTATATATTTGATAAGATAAAACCAATTTCTTTTACAACAATTCTGCTAATTCCAAAATCAAAGAAGCAATAGTGGTCATAATCAGAAGAAGGTTTGATAATTATGTCTTTCATGGCCGATATTGAGCATAATCTTAAACTATTTCATAATGAAGCTTCTGTATAATCCCATACCAGACTTACCTGTGAACTTGGCAGTGATATAATCGATTCGTCCGCCACTAGACTTAGTTAGCATTTTCTTACCTGAAATCTTCAATATGTTCAAAGGCCTGATCCATAGTAGAGAATCTAACTTCATCAGGATTTTCTTTGATCTTCTTTGTTATGATACCTCTTGTGGTCAAAGTCTCAATATTGGGCCAAGAACTCTTGAATTAGTGTACAGAGAGATTTGCCAATTACGAAACCTTCGAGATGCATCCTAAAGGGCTCTGAATGCATAGCTGCATTTATTGTTTGATATACTATAGACTTAATCTTCATGTTCGAATAATTTATGAGCAAACTTCTTCTTATCTTCGTTGCTTTTCAGATTTATTTTAGCTGAGTTTTTCTGATTTAGAAAGTCAAATTTGGCCTTTAAGGCCAAGTTCTCTTTGGTTAAGCACTGGTTTTCAACTTTTACCTCTGTTATTCTAAAATATATTTTATCCAATAGCACTTTATCCTAAAGGGGTTTTGGGGTTTTGGGGTTTTGGGG